TTAGTCTTTTGTGTTTTGTTGGTTTGGGGGTTTTTTTTGGTTTTTTTTTTTTTTTTTTGTTTGTTTGTAATTTATATATGTACTTCACTCACATGTTTGCGAGTAGCAATAGAAGGTAGGGCTAAACCACAGACAGTCATGTAAGCAGAAACTGTATTTTGGGTGCATCCAGTAATCAGGTTTTGCGATTTGACTTGGACATCTGAATTTGGAGGAGGTTTTGGGTTTTTTTGGGGGGTTTTGATTTGTTGTTATTTTATGGTTTTATTATTACTTTATTAGTCTTGTCTTGTACAAAGAATTTATATTCATGTTTTACATTTCCCTGATGCTCCGTGTATTTTCTGTGGACAACTCTGCTGCCTTGGTGCCATCACCAAAGGATGGCAATATTAGCAACTCGTGTGAGCAATGTGTTGCTTTTCTCTTCCTTTGCTTCTCAGCACTCTATGCTTTTGTGAAATTCCAAATACCCTTCATCTTGATGGCTGTCATTCCTTGATGAATAGTGTCTATGCATATCTTTTTTTGAAGTACTCTCTTTTATAAATTCAGGTGTTGGATTATCATGGCTGTAAAATAAGTGACCCATACTGCTGGCTTGAAGATCCCGACAGTGAACAGACAAAGGTAACTTTTCTTTCATGGGAATAGCTGTTTTGACATGGTTCTCTTTTATAGGCTAGGTGCATGGGTTCTCTGTTTTTCAAGGACCTACCAAGGCTTTTTGACACCAACAGCAATGCCATTATTTTGTACCTTTGTGTTAATGGAGGAAAGACTAAAACACTTGGTATAACCTAGATAACAGACTTTGGAAAACTTAAGGCCTTGTTTTGGCCTTGGACTCATTTTTCTTAGACAATATGAATTCCCAAGATGGTGTCATCACACTGAAGAGAAATCCTCTGCTTTTAGAGTGCTTTATCCACTGTTCTAAGTGCATCTAAGTAGTGCATCTATTTATTTGTCATGATAAATAATAAATGCCATAATTGCCGTAATAAAAAAGGGTAGAAAGAAAACTCCTTTGGCTTGCTTTCTTTGTACAGTGACAGTGTATGAATCTTCTATTTTCTTATACCTTTTCAAAAAACAAACAAACCCATTTTCCTCCTGAAGTTAGGCTTTATTAGTGTCTTTTATTACAGATTGCAGATGTTGCAGTGTTTTTCAGCCTGCAGTCTGGTGTAGCTAGCCTGTGGTGCTGGAATTGGTCTTTTGCTGAGAGGTAATCCTGAAAAAGAACAATTGTGATTGTGAGCCAGTTCCTCTGATAGTCATGGCACGGGGCATTGCAGGGGTGATGGCCAGAAAGTGGTAGGTGGCAGTGTGGAGGGAGTTTCCTCTGTAACGGCTAATAACTTTGTGGTAACTGCAGTTCCAGCTCTAAACCACTGGTGTTTATCTAGTATGTGTTACTGTGTCAGAAAGATGATGGAGGGCAGGATCTCTGTTTAAAAATATTCTGCAGGTTGGCTTTCCATTAGTGAGATTCCTTCTAGGTTCTCTCATCTATGTACTTATAGAATACATCTTGATGAACTAGAGGGTGGTCAAGTAGAACTTACTGTCTGTACAGTTAGAATCCAGTTCCCTTCTTACAAATCTATCAGCATATATAAAGACTTATGTGGATTAAGAAGGTCCATTTTGGAACTGGTTTTATTAAAAAACTCTGGCGCTGACATTAACATTGAAAGTTAGGTATTTCGTAAGGTGGGAGTATTTTGATTTTTTGATTTTGGCATCCTTAAGAAACAATACACATACAATAATTTGTGCCAGATTCAGAGGGATATATGCGCGGGGAGATATGGTTATGTCTTTCTTTCATAGAGGCCTTACAGATATCTATTAAAGTGCTTTTCAGGATCCTCTGGAAGAGTTAGGATTGAGAAAATGTCAAGACCTGACAGTGTTTAGTACTCTCACGACACACTGTGAACAGGTTGGATGAGAACTGTTGGAGAAGGGTGAATCTCATTCTCCAGAGGTTGTAGCTTATATAGGAGGCAAAATGAGGAATGGGGGATTATAACATCTTCCTAAAAATGCAGCAATCCAGACATAAGATGTCATATTGGTGGAATGAAAATATTGTTAAATCTTACTTGCCTGCACTCTAAAAACACATGCCTTAGCAGAATTTTTCAGTGTGGTAGTTGTATGATGCAAAGAGTAGAGGAAATTTTTGTGTATGTCGTATTTTTCCGAAGTTCCAGAAATTAATGAACAAAGGGAAATAAAGTGTTTTGCTTTTCTACCTCTTTCATAGAAGAGGCCAGAAAAAAAATAATCTTGAAGTCCTAAACTCATTTCATCTGCTTTATCATGCACTTTGTGCTCTGCAGCAGAGGTTGCTGATGGCTACTGTTGCTAACTTTTCTTAATAGTTTTCTCTCCCAAGTTCTTGAGACAGTTTGCAGAGCTCCTGCAGAATAGCCATTCTTCACCTGCCAGATCAATGAGTAACCAGACATTGGTATAGAGGCAATTGAATGACTGTGCAGGCTTCACAGAGAATTTGGAGCATGCTTTGTAGGCTTTTCAAGCCTTCAAGTCACTGACCTTGAGACCTGTGTCCTTCCCATTCTTCCTCCAAGTTGCTTTCTCTCTTTATTCAGTCCTTAATATCCTAAACCTCCATTTACTTTGGAGAAAAGTCAAAATATCCTGTATAAGTCTCCAGCAGTCGGCTACCTTTAATTTTCTACATGTTAAGTACAGAACTAGAAGAGGAATTCCTTGGTCATCTGTGCATATTTGTAGTGAAAGAGCCCTCATTTGGTTCCGGTTTACAACATGCTTGCTTGCTTGATTGATTTGAGTATGTGTAACACTGAAAATTCTGGGTTTTACCAAAAATGGAGACTGAATGTCATTCATTTACTAAGTTAGGAATCTTTTTGTGCATATGAATAATTGCAATTGTTTGGATGTGTGCTGTTGATTAGATACACAAATATGTTGGAATTCTGCTTTTCTAGACGTAGCAGAAATAGTCATGTCAAGCATAGGTGTGGTCACAGAAAATAAATTAGCAGGCCTTGCTTTGTTTCCGTGTTGATATGATTGGTGAAACATCAAGTTTGCTATTTCTTGAAGCATGGAGAAAGAAGCAAAAGCAAGTGAGGTTGGTTTTAACTCTGGAATTTCCATGATAGTTTCACCTGATTCCCACTGTAGGATTAAGAGGGCTGTGACTGAAAGAAATTACTCACAACTGCTGTGAGCATAAAGAATAGTGCTCGTTGCTCCTGTGGGTAGTCCAAATGATCTTGTGGGCTCTGATAGTTAGCAGCTTACAAACAAGTGAGCATAGAAGGGTGGGGTTGGTGGGGTTTTTTGGTAATTGGCTTAATCAGGTATTTTTACAGCGAGAGTACTGTACCTGATCCACTGTAGTTTGCAGTTTTCCATTAAGTCAGGTAGTTCTGTGGTTTCTCTCTGTCCTCATTCCCCTTCTTGCATTAACGGGAATGCTTCTGTCCCTCTGTTGCATGGGTATAGCCATGACAAGGTGATGTTCTGGGAGAGAAGCCTTTGGTGGATTAGTTTTTTATTGGCACATATGTTTAATTCAGGTCACCCCAAGGCCACATGATAGTTGGATCTAAGATGGTTCAGGAATGGGATCTTTACTGCCCAAAGCCTACTTTTAATTAGGTGAAAGTCAAATAGGTCTAGAATTTTTTCAGCCGGGTCACTAAGATGATCTTATTTCATATATAGTGTATATATAATCTGCTACAAAAAGGAGATTATTGAAATCTGCAGGTGTCTAAGCAAGACTGTTTCTTGTTAGATGCTCAGTTTTATTGCTGATTAAGCCAGTCATCAAGCCGCATCCTCAATCTCTTCTGGAAAAGCTGTTGTTCAAGAAGTATCTGCTTTCATTTTCATGATCTACGTGCTTTTTTTTCCCCTGTGTGTGCTTGGTTGGAGTAGTCATGCACAGCAATAAGCAAACAAAACTCCTTTCTCCAGATACATAAATGAAAACTGAGCCCCTGGTCAGATGGGAAAGTTTCTGCCTCACTTTGGAGAGAGGAAGTGGGGAATGCGAGTTGGTGCTCTGCTACTATTTGGCATTGACCTTCAAGATAGACTGAGGAATTATCCTCAATATAGTTGAAAAGTTGTGCTACACTGGTGAAACGCTTCTGGTGACAACAGAGGCCACAGCTGCAAATGTATACTTTTACTGTTGTCTTGGGTTTGACTAGGATGGACTTTTCAACTTCTTGGTTTGTTTTTACACTTCGTGGGAAATAAGCAATTTTTTAGATCATAGCAAAGTCTTTCACTTAGACTCTTATTCTGTTCTTTCTTCTGCTAGCAAAGTCTGTCGTGTTCAAGACATACGATCAGTTGACAGATGTAGATTTCTACAGGTAAAATGAGAATCTTTCTCTGTAGGCTTATGAAGATGCACAGTTACTGTTAGCCCTATAGCCTGGGTGGCATCTGTTTAGCTCAGCATGGTGGATGGAGTTTACTCTGAAAGTTTCTGCTGACATCTGTTCCTGTACTTTACCTAGAGCAATATTTAATTATGTATTGCCTTTTGGACATAAACGCAACCTTGTGCTCAAAAGTTTAAGAACAATAGAGTTCCCAAACTGGGCTGGATTCTTCTTGGTGGAACTCTTTGAAAAACCTGTAATTCCTACCTCCTTTTTCAGACAGCAGTGTCATTCCCTTTTACAAGTAGTCTTAGAATCTTTGGTGCATATTAAAGGAAAAGGGGAAAACTATATTAAGTTTCTGTAAAAGCAAAATTACTAGTGATTCAGCTGTAAGTGCACTAGTTAATATGTAAGCATGCTCTTGTGCATGCTTACAATGCTTGTAAAGAAAAGTTTGTGTCTCCTCTTTGAGTGAAATGAAAGTAATGAAAGCAGATGTGGTAAGATGTGGCTGTGCAATTAAAAGCAAGTAACACACAGTTCCAGTATACCCTTACAGCAATGTTACTGTTTCGATTGGGTTATTGATATGTGAAAGAGATATGTGCCAGTTTCTGTCCAGTAAATGCAACTGAAAAGTGCTTTTGCCCATCCAGTGCAATGGATGGTTTTATACGTGTTTTTTTTAAGGTATCTTTTCTCAGAAAATGTCACAGCAATTCGAGTAGTTTATTTGTGTAGCATATGCTGTGTAGATTTTGTGTATGTGGTCTTTAAAATTTATGCTTCCATTTAGAGAAAACAAATTCAGATACACATAATTCTTGGGTAGATTTCATTAAGTTCTTTCATCATCTGATTGGGGGGGTGGTTTTAGAGGTACAGTGTGAAGGCTGCATGTCACTCTTTACTTACCACTGGGATGTGCTGTGCTTCCACGCTGGGTGTTAAAACTGTGTATGCCACTATGATCCTCAGAGGGAGAACAGAAGCAAAAATTTGCCTTTCTTTGGCAATGCATTCAGCTCTTCCCTTTTTCTCAAGGAATCATTTCCTGGCTTGACTCTTGCTGATGAATAAAGTCTAATTTTGAGTAGAGGTCCAAAAGTCATCATTGCTAGCCTTCTGAATCAGTTCCTTTTCAGTGCTATAGTGCTTGCTTTCTTATGTCATCCTTGAGTGGTGACTTGCGTGTTGCCAAACCATGTGTTCTTAAAATAATACGTTTTTGCACTTAGCCAAGTGCTCTTACAGCATTACGAATTCTGCACTCGTGTATAAAGCTTATCAGTTTCTGTATGCTTTGCTAGGCATGAACAAACACATCTCAGGTGGAGCCTGACCATAATTAATGTGCTTTCTCCTTTACCTTTTGGCCTGACACGCCTCTGAAAACACAGCTTGGCATGTAGTGCAGCTCTTGGCTATGCACTGCTGTGTCAGCAAGGCAAATGGGAGGGAGAGTGTCTCTACTTGCCTCATGTGCTCACTTCTCAACATGTGACATGTCTGTAAAATGCTGCTGAAAGAGTTTTATGTTGTATTCTTTCCTCTTTTCACCTGAAGAATTAGTAATTGAGTAAACATTCATAGCAATTGGTGAATGTGTGCCAGGCACTCTGTACAGCAGCTGGCTTTCTGAACTGTGAAACACAAGTTGTGGAACATGGATTGTAGCCCTACTGTTTCTGTGGGTCATGCCCTGCAGTGCAGATCACTGTTGTCCTGTGTAGTTGTCATATGTTCATCTGCTTGTTGTGTGACTGATTCATGACAGGTAGAAACAATAGCATCTTTCAGAGCAACTGGGAAAGATACCTGTGTAAGCAAGAGATGAGTGGACAGGGTTTCAGGCTGGAGGCAAGAGGCTGAGGTCCGAGAGTGATAGTGCAGCCATCATGGCGATATCTGGCTATGAATCACAACCACTCACACTGTGTCCTGTCTTTCCTGCTCTATGTTAGAGACTGAAGAGCCTGCATTCCTGCTTCTTAGTAGCTATGGTTGCCCTTAAGATGCTTAGGTATTAATTTTATGTTGATGTACTGTGCTATAAATAGGGATGGTGGAACACCAACTGAGTGCCATTTTTTTCTGTGCATGCCATGGGAGTGGCAGCCTTATACAAACAGCTGGAGTAGTAATGGTTTTGGCTTCTGTCTTAAGTGTGACTGAGAAAAAGAAATCAGACTCCTCAAAGCTATCCTCTCCAAGATAAGGTACTCTTTCCTTTTGTAAGTAAGAACTGATCTGTGAACAGTGCTTTGACCTTTCCAGGATGTACTGTCTGGGACAAATCCTCTGTGTTATGTTAATAGGATGAACAGATGGTGCACATGATGTTTTGTATCATCTTTCAGCCCTTTCCCACTCTTGAAATAATTGTGCTGTCTGTGGGCAAAAGGGACTCTCTTCTTTATCCATTTCTTAATCTATTGTAGAGTATTGGAGTGATGTATATTTGTGATGAAGTAAGGGAAGATGGTATCTCTTGGGTATATACTGTAGCTTTTCTATGCCATTTAGGCAAATATAAACAGAGTTTTTAAAAGCATGAGGCTTGGGTGTTTGGGTTGTTTTTTTTTTTTTTTAAGAGAATGGCAGGAATCTGGGCTGTCTTTGGCCAGAACACTGGCTTCCTCAGTGCATGCCCTAGAGAGAAATTATTCAGGGTATAAGATCAGTTTTGTTACAGTATTGTGACATAATTTAAATGTATAAGAATCTTCAGGTGTGACACTCTATTTGACCTATATGGGGGGGAAGATGTCTGTGATGCATTGCTTCAGAAAATAGTGTTTCCTATGGGAATACATGTTTCTGCTTGAGTTCATGTCTCTTTTGGGGGGATTGTTTTCTTTCAGGCATTTGTGGAGGCTCAGAACAAGCTTACAGTACCCTTTCTCGAGCAGTGTCCTGTCAGAGGACTGTTCAAAGAACGAATGACTGAACTCTACGATTATCCTAAGTACAGTTGCCACTTCAAAAAAGGAAAAAGGTATGTAAGGAATGTCTTCGTAGGTGGTGATGAACGTGAATCAAGTCAAAAGCAACTACTAGTAAGGAAAGCAAATTAAAAATTATATTTATATTAATTCCTTTATAGTTGAGAAGTAGGAAAAGTAAGCCAATGTTAGTATATATGGTTGCATGATGCAGAGCACAAAGGTGCTTGACTGCCTCCTGTTCCCAGTCATATTATCTTCTTCAGGTTTTTTGTTGTCTTTTCTTTTTATAGGAAAATTTGTGAGTTTATCAAAACTCAGACAACTTTGTAGAATGACTATTGTAAAAGTAAAACTTTGAGGAGTTCCTTTCAGGGTTTGTCACTGTCAGTATAGTTAAAGGCACTTCATGCTGAAAACAGCACAAGTCTCTCATGTGCATGTTGTTCTAAATATTTCCTAAAACACTACTCTTATGTTGGTTGTACTTTGAGCAGCTGGTAGGATTTTTGTTTAGTCATAGCCAGTGAAATTCTCTTGTGAAAAGCTGGTCCTGTTACCTGAAGAGGATAGGGGAAGAATCATTTGGAGGACTTAAGGCAACTGATGCAAAAAGATCTGTCTTCTAAGAAATAAACAAACCTTGCTATATTCCAGTATGTAGCCTATTTGTTTTAATGCTGTGGTTAGGCAAAGAGATGGTGCTTCTGTGGCTTACCCAAGGTCTGGAGACTGCAGCTGCTACTCAATTTTGTGACCACTTTGAGAAACACTAGCAATCTCCTTGAGGAAGGGAGTAAAGAGATTAAGCTGCTGGTTAAGTTAGGAATATCTAAAGATTGTTTTAGCAGTTGAAAAAGAGATAGTGTTAAATAACTAGCCATTCTTAAATCATGTGAGACGCAAATTATCTTTGTGGTATTTTCAATTTGTTTCATCTTTGTTGAGTGGGCACCCAGACATGCCAGCTATGTTTTCACTGTCATCCATAGGAAAGAGCAGATGTCTCATTGCCTTAAGATTTCTGCACAGATATTGAGGGAAATCTACTACTTTTTAATTATCTGTCCTATGCTGTGAGGAGAATGTGGATACTTGTTACAAAGAGAGGAAAAGTCTGTACTATGTGGGTTTTTTGTGAAAGTGCACTGTGAGGAGTGAACCCAAGCTGATGTTGATTTAATTTGACACTGATGTGGCATAGCATGTCAGTGTGAGGTTTAAGCCCAGAAGCCATGGAGGTGTTTAAGTCAGTGCTGCATCCAGAGTAGGCCTTTTTGAGCCAGTCAGGCAAAGAATATTTTGTATGTGATGCTCATGCAGATGTAGCTATGCTGAATCTGATTCTGAAGCAGGCCTGGTCAGTAACTGCTCTGGATTCTTGGACCCATTCTGCCTGTACAGTGCAAACATGCCTGCGTGTGGTTATCCTCAATGCTGTTGAAATTTGATGTTGCAGAAGTGTTCATGGCAATGATGAATATAGTCTCTGCTAGAGATAAGTCTTAATTTGATGCAACTCACTGTCCTCCAGGAAGAACATTCATGCTAGGAGCTTAATTTGCTTTAGCTTGTGACAGTTTGCTTTGATTTTAATAGATGTCTTCTTAGGGTTTTTTTTAGTGTTACTCTTAATTATTGATACATTCTAAACTTAAATCACAGTGGTTTAAAAATCATGTGTTATGGTGTTTGAGGTGATCAAGAGGGCTCTACCAAGTTAAGTAACACTTAGTAAGGGGCAGGGAGAGGAACTGCTCTATTTGAAGAACTATCTAAACTTCCCATGACACTTAGAAATTCTCAAATTTAGTTACTCCAGTTTTCTGATGAAGAATAGCTGCTAAAGACAGTGTCTGAAATGCTGTTCTGTAGAATCTGCAGAAGGGAAGAGTGCTCAGGGAGGTGCTGTGTCTGTCACATTGTTTGACCTTTGCTTCCAAGCTTATTGCCCAGTATTTCAGAGGTGAAATTGGCTAGAAAATGTATGGTCAAATGGAAAACTATCTATCTTTTTCTTCTATTCCTTTAAATTTTTCAATTCTGTCACTCACTGAACATTACTGTTAGTATTTGAACATACTACTATTTCAGATTGTTAGCCAGGCCTTTGTGAATATAGTTCCCCCTTCTGGGTTTACCAGGTTCCCAAAATTGTATTCACATATTGCACTGTCTTAGGGAATATGTAAACTTATGTGTAAGTTTGAACATCGCTTCATAAATACCGCTATTCCTCCAGGTGAAGCTGCTATTTGATTTGTTAAGTCACAGGTTTGTGTAGTAAAACTCAGAAGTCCTATGAAAGAAGAAAAGTGTTGTATGTATAAATTGCATAAAGTTATTAATTTATTTGAGCTCTGTATTGTCTTACGATGTGAAGAGTATCCCTCACTAAAGAGAATTCTGTAATTCTCTGCTTCTGCAACTTTTTGAAAACACAGTTTTAGGGACAGTGGGAAATACAGATGAAAAATTTCAGTTGTTTCATTTAAACATCTGTCTGCCACTGGATGCAGATTGAAAGAAGCTGTATGAATAACAAAGCTTAGAACAGGAAATAAGAACCTGTGACAATGCTTGTAACAGGGAAATGATAAGGCTGCCAGAGCTGTTTAACGTAGCAAGTTATGTAGGGTTTATAGTATACTTGGCTTTGTTTGAAATTAACTGTGTCAAATGCAGCTTTTGTTTTTAAAAGATGTTTTGGATATATCCTACTGTGTCTACTATACAATCTGTATCACTAGGATGAGATTCTTCTCATTTTTAGAGACCTAGAGATTCGTGTCTGGGCTTCCTCTGTACTAAGGGGGAGAAAAAGACAACTACAGAAGGTGGTTAAATCTCTGATGGCTGCAGAGGAAACCATGATTCCTACTCTGCCTTGAAGCTTGTGTTTGCCTTATGTATTTATCTGTCTTTTTTTTTATTTTTTTTCTTTTTTTCCCCTCCCATTTTATGACAATCTCATACAAGTTTTCATGCTTGTCTAGCTGAAAATATGAGTCCTTCCTACTTATTTTTCCCTCCTGTGTTCTTTTAGGTATTTCCACTTCTACAATACAGGACTGCAGAACCAGCGAGTTTTATATGTACAAGATTCCTTGGATGCTGATGCCAAAGTTTTTCTTGATCCAAATAAGCTTTCTGATGATGGCACTGTGGCTTTACGAGGTCAGTGAGATGGTAGTTCATGCTGAGTAAATATGGGTCTTTAGCAGCAGTTGGAAATGGTTTCCAGTTCTTCACCTACAAATACATAGCTAGAGTTGCTTATTTTAATTAAAGTAGTCACAATAGACATGTGGATTTGTATAGTGTTTCAGAAGAATACTTCTAAATCTACATCGTATTCACAATTACCTTGGTTCAGTTTCTCAATGTCTTTTTCCACAATTCTTTAGCAAGTTTCCACTGAAAGATGGAACAAAGAACAGATCTTGAGGCTGTCCATAGCAAGGAAAAAAATTGTATATATTTGCATTGACTAATTTTCTTAAAATCTTTGCATCTTTAACACAAGCCATTAAGTTAGAGACTGTGGAGGAATGTAACATTAACTTTTATGAGAATCACAAAATTACTTGTATTTACTTTGTTGCTTTTAACTTGTGTTAGCTGCCCATTTTCCCACTTCCTATTGGGTTATTGTAGAAGCAAGGGTCTTGGACCTAGAAGCCTTTAAATCTGTTCAAGACCAGCTGATAAAAATAAAGGGCAGAGTCAGAATTAGTGGACTCATCTTTAAGTGTGACCTAGTTGAAAAGAATCAATATGGCTTTCCTTAGTGAGAAACCTTGCCTTAAACTGTGGGTATAAGGAATTGGGTTCATATAACCTTTCCTTATTTCTAAAAAGCTGTGACAAAGTTTCTTTCCAAATGCTCTTAGAGAACCAACAGCCATGGAACAGGAGGAGGAAACTCCTGGTGTTGATAAGTAATTCATTTAAAGGCAGAGACAGGAATAACTGATAAACTGTCAAAGTAGAAATCACAAGTAGAGTTCTCTCAGGGGCTGTGCTAGGACTTGCACTGCTCACTATGTTCATATTTATTAGAAAAAGGAGTGAGCAGAGAGGCAGCATTGTTGGTGAAGATACAAAGTTATTCCGGGTAAAATCTGAAGAATGACTGAAGAGCTGCAATAACACATGGGCAATAAATTAACAAGTAGAAGTCTCTGTGCAGATAAATTAAGTGAAGCACAGGGACAAGCAATGCTAATCTCATTTGTAGAGGAATGGATGGAATGGACTCTGAATTGACCATAACCACTTGGGAACAATTCTTAGCCTGTAATAGTTCCATGAAAATGTCAGCCTGGTTCTTGGTAGCAGCGAAACAAGCACATCAAGTATCAGAAATTATTAAGAAGGAAACAGAGAATAAACCAGAAAACAACCCAGAGGTTTATAGAGTAGCACTGAATACTAAATGTAGTTCCAGTCCCCTTAGCTCAAAAGGGGCTCTAAAATACAGTTCAGAGGAGGGCAGTGGGAACAATCAAGGGTATGGAGCAAAGGTCAGAGACAATTGAGTATGCCTGAATCAATCAGCTTGGAAAAGGGACAATTTACAAGGTATATAATAGAGGTCTACAGAATCATTTGTGGTGTGTAGCAGCATCGAGAGAGAGTGAATAGGGGTTGGTTAATCATCCTTTTTCTATTACAAGAATGAGGGGATATCAAATTAAGGCAGTGGAGTTGAGTCCAGAGCAAATAAAAGAAGGTGATGGTTCATTCCACAAGTAGATTTGTAGAACCCCTTACCAATGGACGTTGGTGGTGCAAAAAACTGGGTTTAAAGGCAAGCCAAACAAGGTCAAGGAGGAGGGAAGCATTGAGGATTATTAACCAGCTACTTCATGGAAATGAAGTCTCCTAAGCTAAAAGCAGTCAGAGGTTGCAAGAATGAGGAAAATATTACATGTGCTTGTATTGTTCTTGTAGGCATCTCATTGTATTTACTCCTGAGGACTGCTAGGTGGAATCTTGTTCTGAATCAGAATGGCCACTTTTGTGTTCTTACAAGGGAGAGTATGTTAGGAAGGCACGGTGATGCCTCTCAAACCTACGACTTCTATGAAATACATCTTGTTTGTGTGGTTTTTCAGTAGTTTGAGGTCTGTACAGGCCTATGATAATTCAGTCTTCTCACTTGAGTTGGAATTGCAAGAGTGAGTTTGATACTTACCAGCTATGAGGGAAGCTCTTGAATTTTTTTCCGAATCATGTTTTCCTCAATTTTGAAAGAGCAATATATGTATCAAAGTTTTCAGCAAAGAATACTGGGGATTAATCCATTTGCATCTAGTGGCAAATTTTTCCAGTTACTTCAGTTTTGATGGTTTCTGCAGGGTCTAGTTTTCAGTGACTCCAATATTGAAGTGTTACTTGCTTTATTTCAGGATGCATTGCTTGCATCTCAGTTTCTGTTGGTACTGTTTCTCTTCTGAAATCTCACTTTAAGTTCTCTATGTGTGTGCATTTTCAGTCTCTTTCTCCCCCAAACTTCGGGAAGGAGAAGTTATTATTATGAAATCATAATTCAGTTGTTGGAGATAAGTGATATATGCATGCTTTCTAAGTATGCATGTCTAAACTCGTATCTGTGAACTAGTCGAAGTCCACAGAGACTGGAAGAGTGCTGTGAATCCCGAGTGATAGCAGGTGTAGTTGCTTGCACTGTCTTTTAGAGAACATACCGTCTTCTCTCAGTGTTCAATGAACACAGTTCTTTTAACTATTTCCTAATTTCACGTCTCTTTCACTGAAATTCAGCTAGAGCGTAGTAAATAATAAAAAGTTGTGTGGCAAAATAACCAGCACTTTCTTGAAAATACTGATCCCTTGTGCTGGTTCTTACCTTATTTTGTTTGACTCCAATTTCCTAGGTTATGCATTCAGTGAAGACGGTGAATACTTTGCATATGGTCTGAGTTCTAGTGGCTCTGATTGGGTTACTATCAAGTTTATGAAAGTAGAAGGTCCTGAGGATCTTCCTGACACGTTGGAGAGAGTTAAATTCAGTTGCATGGCATGGACTCATGATGGAAAAGGCATGTTTTATAACTGCTATCCAAAACAAGATGGCAAAAGCGATGGTAAGTATGGCTGTACGGGTTGCATGCTATGTGGAAGCAAAATTACCTTTTCAGTAAATTGCTGCAACAAACAATTCGCTCTGTTAGATTATATTGAAATAACTAGCTGTACTATTTTATACAGTTAGATATCAGGTTATGTCTTGCATGACCAAAACCTATGCTCAGTTAGTGTGAGTATCCTCTTGTCTGTCTGTTCCTGTCTTTCTTTTAAAAGTTTGCTGCTCTTTTTTCTCCGGAATGATTTATTTAGCTTTCATACAAAGTGTATGAAAGGCTGGAATTTGATGTCTGGTGACAGCTTGCTTAGATCTCCTTATGCATTTGTGTGGGATAGGTGAACTGGCTTGGGAGATTGGTGAATAGCAATCTGGGGCATAAGGTTTTTGTTATTCAGCCAGATTAATTCATCTGTGGTTCACAGCACAGCAACACAAGATGTTTATGCTAGCAGAATTCAAGGAGCAGTGCACAAAGTGGAATATATTGCTGAGGAGTGTCAGTAGGGAAGGACTTTAGCAGCTCTTATTGTAAGGCAGTGCTACTCTAAGTTTCTTCTGGAGCTGTGCTCTTCATTAAACCTTGGAGAGAGCCTGAATTTTGCCTCTGTGTTTGCTTTTGCAGCCTATCATTTTGCCAAACTTGCAAGTTAGATACCGACCTTGTTTTTTTTACTTTTAGTTATGTTTGTAGTTCAGAAGCTGAAATGTTGGAGCAACAGCAACAACAACAACAAAATAATCAAGTAGCACCTCATGCAGTGCTTTAAAAGACTTCTTTTGATATATTTTTAGCAAATGGAAATATGAAGGTTTCTAGGAATTTTAATTAGCAATCAATCTCCCTTAGTTGCCCAGGGTAAAATGGGACCAAAAACATTAGAGGGTGGCAGGGATTGTTGTTTTTCTTTGCTTGGTGAATGTTTATAGAAAGCAGATCTTAAAATGATAAATCTTTAAATGCAAAGAATTGTATAGTCAGCAATAAAAGGAAAGGGTAACAGGTTTGCAGCATGGTTTGAAGTTCTGTTTTGTCTTGTAGGGGGGTGTTGGCTTGAGGTGAATGGTTATAGAGTGAACCATTCCTAGTTCTCTCTGCTGAATTACTCTTTTATATGCAAACGAATACAGAATTTTCTAAGGATTTTATTTGGTTGTTGTTGGATTTCCTTGAGAATTAATTGGTTTAAACATCTTCATTTCATTAGGCACTGAGACCTCCACTAATCTGCACCAAAAGCTGCATTATCACGTATTAGGAACTAACCAGTCAGAAGATATCCTATGTGCTGAATTTCCTGATGAGCCAAAATGGATGGGTGGAGCTGAGGTATGGTAAACACCCCGAAGCTTGTCATCATTATGTTGAGTTTTTCAGTTTCTAACACTGATAGTAGCTACAAATTGGAAACATTTGTTAAACGCCTTTCATAAGTGTTGCAGAGTTGGTCATTAACCCGAGAATGATTGACTAAGACTTGCTGAAAATAAGATTGTTAAATTTGCTTTAAATTGGTCCTCAAGCCTGTAATGACACAGTCACGTACCCTTTTTCTTCACTGAGGACACTTCAGTGATACCCATTCCAGGACAGAGAAGGATCATTTGATGGACAATGTGTTCTTGTTTCTTCTTAGTCAGTGTTGAGCTGCAGCCTTCAGTCTCTGCACAAAAAGCTTATTCCAATAATCAGCGTGTCTAGGTATTCCTTGCCATGTTTTTGTTTGTGTTTTTTTTTTTTTTTTTTATTTAGATTTATTTTTGTGATGTCTTTCCTGAAAATGAAATACATCTATTCTGCTTACTTGAAGAATGGAGGCATGCAGGTTAAACACTGTTAATATTGTGTGCAAAGTTAGAGAAAATCCCTACAAGTAGTTTTATCAGCACAAATATAGTGTGAACTGTGTTATTGGAACTAGGACAAGTGACTACTGGAATTGATTTCTTAAGCTTATTTTGTTCAGCTAGTATGGTATTGTGAACCAAATGTGATAGGTAACCATGCTTTGTTCTTACCATGAATGATTCAAAACACCCTAAGTTTTGTAATTAATGTGTGTTTTATTCTTCATATTAGATTTAACAGTGCTTGATTGAAGGCACTGTTCTAAGTGTTGGAATGTAGGGGTGATCATTGTGTTTATCCAGGAACTGATGTGTTTTTTGCAGTGGATAAAAACCTGTTGTAGTTCTTCATACTCTCCTAGCTACTGTGTTTAATCAGCACATTTCGTTTCTGTACAAGGTCTCTTTTGGTTTGACACTTTTGATGAAAATGAAATGGTTTTGCCCTGATTTGGGGTATTCATTTCCTAGAACTACTTTTCCCTGTGATCATCACTTTTCAACACATCAACCCATGAATATGTTGGGGGTTTCTTTTCTGTGGGCTGCCAGAGAAGTTCTTTGAAAGAATTTAAACAGTGGGACTCAAAATGAGAGAGTGAGGGAGAATGTGAAAAGCTTGTCAGCAAGGTGACCACACTGAGCTTTCTTTATACAAATCAGACTTATCTGTAGGTTCTGTGAATAAACAGAACCTTTTTTACATAATCTCATCTATTTATGAAATACACTTTTAACAACTGACCTGAATAGTAGTGTAAACTTGCAAATGGGGCTTTGGGAATTTTTTTTTTTTTTTTCTTTACTGTTTAAAGCTAGTCAGTTATGTTAAATTTAACTGGCAATAAAATGAAATTTGGAAATAGTTATCGTTATATTTCCCTAGTTCTGTAAATAAATGGGCTTTCTGTTTGTGACAGATGTCTTGTAGTGATGTATCCACTGATTCACATGAGTGATGCTTATTATTATTGCTTTGCAGTGTCATGAGCTAAACTACACATGTCATGAAAGCAAATTAATTTCCGTGGGGGAGGGCTGTTGTAGTCTGATTCATTAGACCATACAGCTTTTTAGGGTAGTGAAAGTTTGCAGTCTCAGATGGTATTAAATCCCATGAAAATGATATCTTCTGTATTGGTTGTAGAGGTACCTTTCTCTTACAAGTAGCAAAACCTTCTTTGAGATAATAGCATACTAACAGAGCCTTTTCTTATCTAAGTTGAAGGAGCAGGGCTGGAGCATCTTAAGATCAGAAATAACAGAAATGCCTATGAGAAGGACTGTGGAAGAGAATTCGTAGTACAGTGCTTGTAGTGAGTAGCAAAGAGTTTGCCTGGCTGGGGTGCCCAGAAGCAGCAATCCTGCATCTCCTGTCTCTTCTATTGTGAAACAAAAGCTTGAGGCAGACTTAAATATAAAAGAAGTATCTTTTTATCTGATACCAAATGTCTTGGGGAAATTTTGTGATTAATAAGAATTTATTAATAGCCCTTACATGAAATGCTCAAAAGGTCTTTGCAGTGGAAAGAAGGGACTGATAGTAGTAATTCTTGCAGTAGGATAGGAAAATAATAGAAAATAATAGCTACCAGTTCCAAAGCCACTGGAATTGAAACAGCCAAGTAAGTGTTGGGAAAGTGGGGAGGATGTTGAGTAGAGAAACACCCCACTACTTTGGACTCTTGTTTAATAAATGTATATGGCTGCTTATGACTCTTTTCTTGACATCTAGGAGGCATAAACTTCCAGAGATACCGGTATTTAATAAGAAATGCTATTTCAAGGAGGCATGGTAAAGCAGAGATCCACCTTGGTAAATAATCTTGAGCTTATCTAAGTGAAAGTACTTTAAAACAGCTAATACTCTGGGGTTGTGCTGTAAGCTTTAGCTGTAAAATGTGGCTCTGTCATCCTTATACTAATGAAAAATGGATTTTAATGGTCAGGAAGAAACATATTCTGCAATTAAAAACCCCAAAACGCAACAATGCAATTGCAAAATGCGGTTTCATCCTTGTGCAATATGTTAAAAAAAATCTTTTCAGGCTATTCAGACAAGCTTTATGGTCAATTTTTGTGTGTTTGAGAAAGTGGAAGACCACAAAGTAATGGGGGAAAATTAAAATATCACTAGTAAAAATTAAATTATTGTCCTGAATATCATTACTTCGTACTAATGTGCTGCCATGGATTTTAAAATACAGCTTTGCATAGCTCAACATTTTATGAAAATCTGCTTTGATGCATTCCTGTCAGATTAATAAATGTTTTTATCCTACAGGGCCTTGGTAGACCAAATGTTTAGATACATTTGGTTGTTTTACACAAGCTCTAGTGAAGACAAAGAGATTATGGTGTGGGACAGTCTAGCCTAAACTACCAAACCTTTCTCTGTAGTGGGAGACAGAGCTTAATCTTCCATACTTGGGTTTAAAGCAGAATTTGCAGGTCTTTCAACCACTGGGTTGAGAGATACGTTGCTTTCAAGTGAAAAACACCTGACAAGGCGCTTCTTCTGGAGACTCCAAAAGAAATAATATTGCAATGAGTAATTTCAAATGCACTGTAGGGAGTTGGTGCGGTATGTATTTTCAATGGAGAGAAGAAACTAGGTCCCTGATTAGGACAAAAAAGAGTTGTGTAGAATCTTATCAGCTTAATACGTTTACCAGACAACATGCAAGAAAACAGCATCAGTTTTTTGCCTCATTACACATTCAACACCAGTCCCAAGTATGCCTGGTTCAAACAAAATCTGTGGTGCTGAAAATGGTGTTGGAATAGAAATATAGATGCATTTGCAATTCCTTACTTGAATGGATTGCTTCTGAGGAAAAAAAAATCTGTTTATTGTTAGTCGGATGTATTAGTTTTAAAAAAGAGGCTAGCAAATCTTTTCGTTATTCTAGAAAAAGCGTATGTATTTCTGGTACAGATTCTGCTACGGTGGAGGAGCTGTGAAGAGCAGGGGTAGAGTTTATTTGAATAACGTCCCAGTAGAGGGCAGTCTGGTACGAAGATTTTTTGAAACCTTGGCAATGTTACAGCTACTCGCAGCAAAGAGGAGCTTCCCATGCTTCTCTGTTTAAGTGGCATGTGTCTGTTTCTTCTCCAGACTCGCAGAGCATCTCTATTTCACAACCAGAGTGTTATTCTCAAAGTTAAACAATAAGTTATATAAGAGGTAGTGTTTAAAGGCCCTACGGTACCAGCAGGAAAGTGTAAATTGGAAAGAAAGGAGAGGGTGAAGGGAACCCTCGCACCCTCTCATCCCAGTTTTGCCAGCAGTAAACCAAGTACAATTTGTCATATTGTCTAAGAAACACAGTCCCTTATCAAGTGAATTGACCTTTTATAATGTTTAGAGCTGCCAGTTAACATCAGTGGTTTTCAACTATGGAGCTGATCTTGCAAATGAAATTCAGAGCACAGTGGAGTGAGTTGTGCCAGATGTGTGCAGGCTATGGCATTTTCACTGAAGGAACATGGAAGTGCAGCATCCACAGGGGAAGGGCTCACAAAATTGTCAGTTTGCTCGAGTGAGACTCATTGCTGGATAAAATGGGACTGTGGGTATTTTTCTGAAGCCTTACACTGTCTTTGTCAAGGCTGAATCTGGAATAGAGCCTACTATGAATATCTTTCTACAGCCATGACAACAGGTCTGGAGAATTTTAGAGAGTTTTACTGTTAAGAAACAGGCAGGCAATCTTTCTGGCTGCACATTAGGCTGTGGAAGCTATGTAATCTCTTAAATAGCTGGGTTCCTGAGGTTTTGGTGCTTTCACTGTACTCGAAAGGAAGCTGAAAATCACAGGAAAAGTCATGGGTGTTGTTTGTCTGTCACCTCAGAATGTAGTTCTGTGGGACCTGATGCTCAAGTTGTGTATTCCCATAATCACCCATCATTAGGGCTGCTGAAATCTAGTTTATTAAACCAGTATGATGCAAATAGAAAACAAAATAAAGCATTTGCAGCCTTAGAATACCAGTTTTGGGAGGGGTCTTAGATTGTGCAGACAGTCCAAGAAGTCGCTTAGTGAAAGGAAGTTTTTGCCCCAATCATCATCACGTTAAAAGGCCAAAAGACTGCTAGAACATTAAAATGTGATAGGAGCTATATGCAAGCTTCAGTGACTTTCTGGCACCACTACAAAGATAATGTCAGAGCATATGAATATTAAAAAAAAAAATAAAAAAAAAAATCTAGTCAGTCGCTCTGGGTGGTTTAAACTGTCCAGTATATAGCATATAGTGAAAATTGTAGCAGTGTTAAAATGCAGCTTGTTGATGCTATGAGTTTTTAATTCCTAGTTATTAATGTCATGCACTGGATGGTTGCTTCCTTATTACCACCCAACTTGCCTTCTCTGGACAATTTATCTTCCCATGACTGGGTACGTACTGTCCACACTGAGTTACTGATTTGACCATTTGGCTCTGTTTGAAGCTTTGATTGTGTCTGTGAGTTTTAGTGAG